ACTTCAACACGTGGCAGGAGGAGCTGGGGATCGAACCAACAACCTTCTGATTAGTGGACGACCTGCTCTGCCTTTGAGCCACAGCTTGCTGAGTCTCATTCCCATGTGGTCAAATGCAGACACTTTGGGACCCTGGGAATGAGACTCAACAATCAGTAAGAAAAGATGAAAGTCTGTCAAAAGTAAAAAGTATCATATTTTGGGATTGTCTGGTTATTAAAGACATGATGCATTATAAAGGCCATGTGATGTACTAATGCCAGTTGTTGTTTTTCAGCCATATTTGAGGAACTTCAGTCTCTGGAATGCTTCCTCGCAGAGCTTTACAAGTGAGTTCCTCTTTAGGCAGCTATTTGTTGTGTCTTGCAATGTCTTAAAGAGCTACTCCACTCTATAACCTGTTTTTTGAGCGGTAAACTGAATTATATGACTATACAGTGTTTAAATTGACATTAAGGTTATGAAACACCTACTGTTTAAATCACCCTAAACCTTGTAAGTCCAATGCTGACATAGAGTCGACCCTTTGGGACTACTTTGTGTCAGACATTTCTATAAAAAGGAGCAGCGGCCCACCTCCCCCAGCCTCCCCTTTGTGTGGGAGTCTGTGAAACCGCTGCGCTCATTTTCAAATGTATACTGATGGAGACACATCATTCACAGTGTTAATGCTAGTTGTTGCTAACCCTTTACTAAGTATGTTTACATTGTGGTGCAGTGGTTCAGACCTGTGCTTTAGATGCTGTAGAACCACCATCACACTGCAATCTTTACCTTGATCCCACGCACAGAGCTCATGTAGCCTCAAGCTGATGTGAAAGTATATTTTAAACAGAGCTGGGCTCACAGATCACAGTCCACTTGTGTTTGGTCCTCAGGCATCTGGACAGCAGCAGCAATGAGAGGCCGGACATCAGCTCACTGCAGAGACGGATTAAGGTACATCTTCCTCCCACACACACACACACACACACACACACACACACACACGTTCCTTCCTCCTGGCTTTCACTTATAAAAGAGCTCCGCTAAATGTAAAGGTCAACCAGTGTGAGATTTGGAAGGATAATTGTGTCAGATTTGAAGTTCATGACATTACTGCCACTGTCAGAGGAGAGCTCTCAGTGTCCCTGCTGGTGTTGTCTCATGATGTACTGAGCCTACTTTCATCCCTCACTGTTGAGATCTGCAGTAGGTATATGAGTGGATAGCACTGTCAAATACTGCTGTCACCACTGACATAAGGGAGGTGTCTGTATGGTCATCATTCAAATGAAAGCAGAGATAAGTGCAGGGAAGCTCTGAGTGTTCCAGGCTGTAGCAGTGTGCTTTGTGTTCCTGTATGAGCAGCATCAGGGCAGGTTCCAGCACACCCGCGGTCTGGTCTGGGTGCTGTTTTAATGTCCTTTTGAGCCATCCACTGGTAACACAAAAACCTCTTCTCAAAACCTGCTACGGCAATTCACTACAACTTTATTTATCACTGTAAAGCCGTATTCAGAGCAAATCGGCTGCTGTGGTAATGAGCCCCAGGGCGGTGCAGCGCTGTGTGTGGATGTGGGCATGTTGATTTATGCTTTAAAACGGAAATAGCGTTTTATTTATGTGATTCACCGGCTTCATAGCTGCCAGAGCTCCCTCCCTCTTATTTCATGAATTAATAAACCGAGCAAGGACACATCTATATCTGAGTTTGATCTGTGAACTCCGTCTGATAGCACACTGATATTTGAGGCTCACTGTGGAACAGTTTGATCGGTCTGATTGCCGGATCGTCCACCGCAGCGTGTCGTCAGGTTGCAGCCTAAACAAACTACCCCCTCTCAAATGAGTGGGAGGACTGGCATTAGAGCTGCACTGCCTGGTCTGGTCTGGATTGTCCTTTTGTCCATTTGTATGCATGCACAGCACTCCCTGTACTACTTGTATTAAAAGTAATAATGTTTCCTGCATAGACTGAGGAAACTAATCAGCAAATAATGTGTGTCTGTGTGCTCTGCAGAAAGTGACCCACGACATGGACATGTGCTACGGCATGATGGGAAGCCTGTTCCGCAGCGGATCCCGACAGACGCTGTTTGCCTCCCAAGTGATGCGTTATGCCGACCTGTACGCCGCCTCCTTCATCAACCTGCTCTACTACCCCTTCAGCTATCTGTTCAGAGCGGCACATGTGCTGGTGAGTTACTCTGAGTTCTGACTCGGACCCAGAGTTCACACAGCCTCCGACATTTTTGTCACCTGCACTTTACATATCCTCTCCCAGATGCCCCACGAGTCAACGGTGGAGCACACCCACGTCAGCATCATCGACACGGAGTCACCGTTGGCCACGAGGAACCGCCACGACCTCGACCTTAAAGAGATGGAGTGCAAACGGCACCAGCTGACCCGGTCCATCAGCGAGATCCAGCCCCCCCACTTCTTCCCCCAGCCTCCGCAGGAGATCACCCACTGCCATGACGAGGATGATGACGAGGAGGAAGAGGAGGAGGAGGAGTAGAGTCTGCAGATGCTCTCACATCCAGTACATCCTGTTTTCATGTTTTAAGATGAGCTTTTCTTTGATGACTATAGGCCTGTGGCAGCAGAGCCTGGTCGTCAGATCCTCCTTCGGACCCGGCCTTGATATGAACTACTGTACGTGGGATGGTGAGATTGAAAATGATGAGGAAGTGAAAGAGCAGAACTGTCTCACTCAGATAGAGCGGCTGGTGGGTGTAGAGC